TCCAAGGTGCGCAGAGCCAGAAGTGAGTCCAGAGCCTTGGATGGTGGCAGCGGGAACCCCAGGCTAGCGGGTGTGCTCCAGGGAAGGGGTCGGCCGGACGGGAGGCACCCCAGGGAGGCACTCGGAGCCTGGAAGGTGGTCGGGAGCAGGGAGGTGGGCGGCTCAACGCAGGAGCGCCCCCTACTGGCCCGTCACACCAGTCACATGAGCAGGGAATGGACTTGCCAGCGGCTGCAGGTGAACTTCTATTCGCCCAAGATTGCCCAGAGCATGACAGACTACTGCAAAACCTGTGAGACGTGTCAGCGGACGGGCAAGAGTGGGGACAAACAAAGAGCTCCCCTACAGCCCCTCCCGATCATTGATCAACCTTTCTACAGCATTGACCCGCTGAGACATCAGAGCCCCAGAGGGAAGAAATATATCCTGACTCTGATGGACTTTATGATACGGTACCCGTTGGCAGTTGCCTTAACCTCCCCCGAAGCACTCATAGTTGCAGATGTCCTGACTAAGATCTTCTTCCAGCTGGGTTTCCCCTCCGAGATCTTGGCTGACAGGAGTGGAAACTTCCTGGCCAAGGTGATGAAGTGCCTGTGGGACTGCTGTGGGGTGCAACACCTTAAGGCCACAGCCTACCATCCTCAAACAAATGAGCTGGTGGAAAGGTTCAATGGGACCTTGAAAGGGATGCTAAAGGCCTATGTGGACTCTAATCCCAATGACGGGGATAAGAAACTGCTGCATTTGCTCTTTGCCTACCGGGAGGTGCCCCAGGAGTCCACTGGGTTCTGGCAGATGGCACTGGACCCGGATGCTGTGGCCAAGTCTGCCTTTGCCACCCCTGTGGGACTTTATGAGATTACCGTCTTGGCTTTTGGGATGCACAACTCCCCTGCGTCTTTCCAAAGACTGATTAACAATTTGCTGCACAGTTGTGAACAGTTTGCCATGGCGTACATCGATGACATTGCCGTCTATAGTCAGGACTTTGAATCGCACGTGACTCATCTGGCCACTGTGTTAGGTAAGATACAGCAAGCTGGGCTTACCGTAAAAGCCAAGAAGTGCCAGCTGGCACTACCTGAGGTAGTTTATCTGGGACATCACATGGGCAGAGGCCATATAGCTCCCTTGTGGGACAAGATCGAGGCTATTAGAGACTGGCCACCCCTGCGAACCAAGAAGCAAGTCAGAGCCTTCCTTGGCCCGGCAGGCTACTACTGGAGATATGTCCCTGGATTTGGAGCAACAGCAGCTCCACTGCATGAGCTGACCAAGACAGGCTGTCCTGACCCCATCACCTGGAAACAGGAGTGCCAAGAGGCATTTGATACCCTAAAGGCTGCTCTGATCAAGCAACCAATCCTGAAGGCACCAGTCCACAAGAAACCGTTCTCCGTGGCCACAGACGCTTCTGACACGGGCCTGGGAGCCGTACTTTTACAGCAATACGAGGGAAACCAACACCCCGTGGTTTACTTGAGCAGGAAGTTGATCTCACAGGAGCAGAACCTGTCATCCACCGAGAAGGAGTGCCTGGCCATCGTCTGGGCACTGAACAAGCCACGGCCCTACTTGTGGGGGCAGCCATTCATCGTCCTGTTGGATCATGCCCTGCTTCAATGGTTGCAAACGATGCAGAATACCAATGCCAAGCTCCAGCGATGGGCCTGGCAGCTTCAAGAGTTCAACTTCACCGTTGAACACCTCAAGGGAAGCCAGAACATGATAGCAGATGCCCTGTCATGAAAGGACTCTGGGTAGGGGGTCCCCTGGACTCAGGACTACCGGAGAGATCTCTGGTGATCTCTAGTGTGGGGACTACCCAACGTGTTTTATGGTTTTTGTAGGTTATTGCTATAACTTGGGTCAGGTGTCAGGTATTCTTTTTCTTTAGGTGTCCCATGTGAACTCCCCGACCCAACATGCCCAGGCACACGGCCCTGAGAAGCCCTGTGCCCGAGCTTTTCAAGGAGGGGGAGAAGTGTGGCAGAAATGCCACCGTCTGTGTCTCCCTCCAGAAACCTGTCCCAGTCAGCTTGGGACACTGCGGTTGAATTCCTAAGGAAGACGGGATTTTCCTCCCTGCCTAGGTGAAAAAAACCTGGTGCAGAGGGGTGGTTCCTCTGGTCACCTGAGTGGGGGAGGGAAAAGCCCCTGCTTCTCTGCCCAGGTAACAAGTGATGCTTTTTAAATTGGTCGGCGAGTTGCCAACACTGCTGGCTTCTCTTGGACTGGGCTGCTGAGGTCAGAAAGGCGATATAAGGGCCTGGTGCAAGGAGAAGGAGGAGAGAAGCCATTTTTCTAGCATAACACAAGCATCAGGACACAGGGAGAGAGTCTGATCCAACTGAAATGCTCTCTCTGGAAATCCCTGAGCCAGATCTCTACCATCTTCTCGATGATACTCATAAGTGTTTCTAGAGAGTTAGTCAGCTCCCAGCGATGCATTTGCGTATCAAACGGCTACCTCAGCCAGACTGCTTTACTCAATGGTAATCCCTCAATAGTGCTCTACCTCTTACCCTATTCTACCCCTTCCCTCTGTAACCAATACAGTTCTCCTTTGTGACCGGTGTGGGAGACTTATTGAGGGGTGGGTTTAGTTATGCCTAGGAGGCCCCTTGGGTCTGCGGACTGAGGGAGACTATCCTTTTTGGCCCCTGACTTGGGGAGGAGCCCCACTTGCTTGTATTGGGTCGAGTACCCGTAGGACTATTAGGCCTGTGTTTCCCTGAGAACACAGGACCTAGAAGGTCCCCTCTTGGGGTGGTGGCGGCACATGTTAGCCCCGGACTCTGCATTGGGGCTTGAAAGGGGGTCTGCTGGGGCTTAGGCGCCCCTGGGGAGAAGCGTGGAGTCCGGCAGGTGGACGGGCGTGGGGAGGTGGGGGGCTTGATGCAGGAGCTCCCCCGACTGGCCCGCCACACGCTCTATGCCCAGGGTCGCCACAGATACCTGGGAGGGGGGTGGGGGGGCAAGCGTCTCTCTGATGCAGCACCTGTGCCCCCCTACACATCATCTATGCCCTCCTATGCCCCACAGACTTACCTGTGGGGAGCTGCTCTCACACTGCCTGGCTGCCACATGCATATGTGCAAACACGGGTGTATGTGGGACACCCGGCCTGATCACCCTCCTCCCAGTCCCCCAGCCCCAAGCAGCCCTAGCCTGCAAGTGGAAGCCCTCTGTTTCCTGTGTTTTTCTCCTTTAAAGGAGAATATCCATGATTTTACACCTTTTTTCAGTGATTCGATGCTCATAACCCTTTCATATAATCTTGCAACCTAATTTATGTTGTGAGCCACTGGTTGAGAAACACTGATCAAAGCCAGAGGCATGGCGGGACGTGGGAGCTGCAGGTGCCAGGGCTGGTCCCAAGGCAGCTTATCTGTTGCAGATCCCCGGTGCAGCGCGCAGCCCCTGCCCCTGGTCCTGCTGGCAGCCTGCCTTGTCCTACTGGCCACCACCATCGCCCTGGGGGTTTTCTGTGAGTAGGGGCCCACAGGGATGGCAAGGGGTGCGGGGTGGGGGGAGATGGGCAGGCATTGGAGCATCATGGGGACACAGGGCAGCCTTGCCTGGGGGCATGACCTGTGCAGGGGGAAAGGGTAGCTGGGGGGAAAGGGCAGGTCCCCAAGCCAAGGAGGAGCTGTAATGACTCTGGAGATGGCCCTGGTGGGTATTTGCACTGGGGGGGTGTCATCTAGGGACACCCAGTGCTGGGGCCAGTGCCCATGGGAGGGGGCAGTGCAGAGTGGGCCTGGCTGGTGCCCTGGTGCCCGGCTGGCCCTGGTGCCAGGCTGCCTGCAGGTGTCTGCCAGGCTCCCTCAAGCCTCTGCCCATGCCCTGGCACTGCCTTGGGAGACTCCCACTGGCTGCCTGGTACCCATGTCCACAGGGGCTGGGTGGAGGTGTGACCACTGGGGCCCTGCCCATGTCGTGGCCACAGCACCTTTGCCCGCAGGCTGGCAGCAGGGGCAGCAGCTGGGGAAGGCAGATGCAGCATTGATGAGGATCCAGAAGCAACAGGAGCGGGCCCAAGCAGGGCAGGAGGGGAACCACAGCCAGGCAGAGCTGCATGAGACCAGGGTGGAGCTGGCGCAGGTGAAGAAGCATGCCCAGGACCTTGAGCACAAGCTGAATGCATCTTCGAGAGCCCTGGCACAGATCTGCCAGGTCACAGGTACCCCAGGGTGGGGCAAGGAGGGGAGTGGGGCACCTCCAGGGATGGAGGTCCAGGCTGCACGGCCCTTCCTCACCTGGGCAGCACTGAGCCCAGGCCCTGTGAGGAGCGGGTGGGGGCATTGCTGCCGGAGGGAACCTCGGGGTCCTGGCCTGGCTCTCCCAAACCTTCTGTCCTCCCCTCCCCTGCTTCCCTGTGGCCTGGGTGCTGCCTGCCTCCCACCACATCCAACCCACGGCTGGGCTGCGGGCAGTCCCTGGGGCTCCGTGGCACCCTGGCAGCAGCCCGTGGCCCTGGCACTGACAGCGGTGAGGGTGCAAGCAGCTGTGTGTGCACAGACTGCTGCTTGGAGCCCTGGGTGCTGTACTGCGGGAAGTGTCTGCTCTTCTTCAATGAGAAGAAAACCTGGACAGAAAGCCGAGAGGCATGTACAGGTCAATTCTCCCGGCTCCTCATCTTCCGGGACTGGAAGTGCACAACCACACAGGTATGGGGCCACGGGGTCTGGGGGAACAGTGGGAAGGTGGTGCCTGGTGAAGGCTGGGATTGAAAACCTGCCTGGGAGTGAGATGCTGGGGGCAGGGCAGGGCAGGGCAGCCACCCTGGGGGCATTTCCCTGGGTCTGGACACAGCTAAAGCATTATGGAGGGGCTGGTGCAGCGCTGGCTGCCGCGGTGGCCCGTCTGTACCACCCCTGTCCGTTGGCTGCACTGCATCCTGCAAGGGGCTGGGGCCAGGAACAGCTGGAGCTGATGTGGGGGTCCTCGATGTGTGCAGCCACCCAGGGCAGGTGCGGGAGCTGCTGCAACCAATGACCCTGCCCTGCTGTCCCCCTCCTGCTGCCCATCCATGGGGAGTATGGCCTCAGCTGCCCCCTGTCCTCCAGCCCTGGGGCTGTTTCTGACGGGTCGCTCCCTTCCCAGAGATTCCCTGGCAGCATATATACCAGGTACTGGATTGGGCTCCAGTACAATGTGGCCACTAAAAGATGGACTTGGATCGACGGGACTACATACCTAGGGTGAGCTGCATCCGGGTCCTCGGCCTGCGATAAAACTCAGCTCCTCCGACACATGTTGTGCAGGGAGTGGAGTCAGGGCGGGGGCTGCACTGGGTGGGAGGACAGGATCCGTGCAGTGCGGGCAAGGGGGGCTGCCAGGAGCCTTGATCCCCAGGCTGTGCCTGGAGCTGCCCGTATGGACTGGGCTTGGCTCTGGCAGCCCCGCTGCAGCCTGTTCCTGATGTCCTGAATGAGTTTTTGTGACATTAGCTGGATCGTACGCACAGGCAATTTATGTAATGACATGCGTCGGTCAGAAATGTCACGTCAGGCACAAACAAAGCAGAAGTATAGCTTGCTATTTAGCTAGCTATCCAGTTAAAAAATAGGTTTGCAGTTTTAGCCTGAATGACAAGCGCACATTTGTGGGTTATATAAATGAATGTGTAAAGGTTGGCCGGGCCGTGGCTTGGGTGGCCCACCCCGTTCCGCGGCCTATGGCTGAATGGCCCCGTGGGCTGGGGGAGTGGGGTTGGACCCAGGCAGGGCGCTGCATGGGTCAGGCAGGCTGGGATGGGGCCTGAGCTGTGGGT